CATGGGATTACTGTTCTTGCTTGGCCAGCAAACTCGCTTGACCTGAACTCCATAGAGAATCTATGGGGCATTGCCAAGAGAAAGATGAGAGATATGAGACTGAACAATGCAGAAGAGCTGAAGGCCGCTATTGAAGCATCCTGGTCTTCCATAACACCTCAGCAGTGCCACAGGCTGATAGCTTACATGCCACGCCGCATTGAGGCAGTAATTGCTGCAAAAAGGGGCCCAAACCAAGTACTGAGTACATTTGCATGCTTATACTTTTCAGAGGTCCGATATTTTTCTATGTACAATCCTTGTTTTATTGATTGCATGTAATATTCTAATTTTCTGAGATTGTGGATTTGAGGTTTTCATGAGTTGTAAGCCATAATCATCACAATTATGACAAATCACAGCTTGAACTATCTTGCTTTGCATGTAATGAGTCTATCTCATATATTAGTTTCACCTTTTACGTTGCATTACTGAAATAATTGAACTTTTCCACGATATTCTAATTTTCCGAGTTTCACCTGTATATCGCCATTTGTAGACACTATAACTTTCATGTAAACCAATTCAACATGTTGGGATTTTTTTAGCAAAGACATGTAACAGAATATATTTTGGCCTAAATTTATGATGAAATTTGATATTTAAAATTTTTTTACTGGACATGTTTAATAGCAAAATGTATTGTTTTTTTCTCAAAATTGTTGGTCTTTTTTTTTTAATAGTGCAAAAAATAAAAAACACACAGGCGATCAAACACCACTGAAAGAAAGCTCAATTTGTGTGAAAAATAGGACGTAAATTCATTAAGGTGCAGCGTTGCATGACTGTGCAATTGTCAGTTAAAGTAACGTAGTGCTGTAATGCAAAAAATGGCCTGGTCAGGAAAGGGGGTAAATCCTCTGGATGGCAAGTGGTTAATTAGTTTGAAAATTATAGCATCTACAAACTATGGTATACAGTATATATGTTTAAAAACTGATCAATCCTGCTGTACTGATGGCTTATTTTATTTGATGCCCTAAAATGCCAGGGCAGTACAAATACCCCCCCCCCCCCCCCCCCCCCCCAAATGACCCCTTTTTGGAAAATAGATAGTAACAGATCAAAAACCCGTGGTGTCCCGCCCCACTATCAGTACATTACGGAATACACCATAGTAGCTCACAAGAATCACATTTATAGACAGTGTAACAGACATTTAGTAAGAGGCATGGTGAGTTTTTTGAAGTTTGAATTTTTTGTCACAATTGTTTGGAAAATGAAGAAATTGAATAAAATTTGGGTAAGCATATTTTTTACATACTGTCACTAGTGCAGTACACCCCCCCCCCCCCCCCCCACCCCCCCCCAGCGTAATCATATGACTGGTGTGGAGGTGATCAGGGACAGTGACTGGTGACAGTATGTTAAAAAAAAACTTTGTTATTTAATTTTTTTTTACTTTTTTTTTTTTCATTTTTTACTAATTTTTTTTACATACTTTCATCAGAGTAATTCAGTGTCATCACAGTAACACTGTACTACTCTGGGATGGTGATTAGGGATTTTTTTTTACCACTTTGAAGATCATTGCAACAGCAAAGTTTTGAACTGTTATGAATGGGTTACATTCATGCAAGCTGTGATCTATGATTGGCTACAACTAATCGCATGGAATAGGGTGCTATGATTGCCCCATGTATCATGTGACAACAGTGGGACAATCACAGCCTAGGAAACACAGCTGTTATTAATTAATTCATAATAGCTTTGTTGACATGATCATCGGGCCCCAAGTATGGGAATCTACAATCTGCTGTGTCCGGTAAACACATCAGTCATGGGGGAAGGGCCGCAATGCATGCCCCTTATGGAGCAGGCAAAATTAGGTACATGTACATGATTTTGCCTGCACGTGCCACCCAGCTGCAATATAATGTATGTACGTCTGGTCGGTAATACAAAGGATAGATAGATAGATAGATAGATAGATAGATAGATAGATAGATAGATAGATACATTATATTGCCAAAGTATTAGGACACCCCTCCATATCATTGGATTCAGGTGTTCCAATCACCTCCATGGCCACAGGTGTATAAAATCAAGCACCTAGGCATGCAGACTGCTTCTACAAACATTTGTGAAAGAATGGGGGAATTCAAGTGTGGTATTGTGATAGGTTGCTGCCTGTGCAATAAGTCCAGCCGTGAAATTTCCTTGGTACTAAGTATTCCACTGTCAACTATTAGTGGTATTATAACAAAGTGAAAGCAACTGGGAACAACAGCAACTCAGCCATGAAGTGGTAGGCCACGTAAAATGACAGAACGGGGTCAGCGCATGATGAAGCGCACAGTGCACAGAAGTCACCAACTGTCTGCAGAGTCAATAGCTAAAGACCTCCAAACTTCATGTGGCCTTCAGATTAACACAATAACAGTGCGTAGAGAGCTTCGTGGAATGGGTTTCCATGCTCGAGCAGCTGCATCCAAGCCTTACATCACCAAGTGCAATGCAAAGCGTCAGATGCAGTAGTGTAAAGCACGCCACCACTGGTCTCTAAAGCAGGGGAGATGTGTTCTCTGGCAAGATGAATCATGCTTCTCTGTCTGGCAATCTGATGGACATGTCTGGGTTTGCCAGTTGCCAGGAGAACAGTACTTGCCTGGCTGCATTGTGCCAAGTGTAAAGTTCGGTGGAGGGGGATTATGGTGTGGGGTTGTTTTTAAGGGCTTGGGTTTGGCTCCTTAGTTCCAGTGAAGGGAACACTTAAGGCATCAGCATATCAAGTTTAGGGATGTCCCTTCCTGTTTCAACATGACTGTTGAAACATGACTGTGCACCAGTGCACAAAGTGAGATCATAAAGACATGGATGAGCGAGTTTGGGGTGGAGGAACTTGATTGGCCTTCACAGAGTCCTGACCTCAACCCAATAGAGTGGAGACTTTGAGCCAGGCCTTCTCTTCTGACATCAGTGCCTGACCTCACAAATGCGCTTCTGGAAAAATGGTCAAACATTCCCATAGACACACTCCTAAACCTTGTGGACAGCCTTCACAGAAGATTTGAAGCTCTTAGAGCTGCAAAGGGTGGGCCAACTCAATATTGAACCCTACGGACTAAGTCTGGGATACCATTAAAGTTCATGTGCGTGTAAAGGCAAGCATCCCAATACTTTTTGTATATATATATAGTGCATCCAGAAAGTATTCACAGTGCTTAACGTTTGCCACATTTTATTATGTTACAGCTTTACTCCAAAATGGATTCAATTAATTTCTTTCCTCAACATTCTACAAACAATACCCCATAATGACAATGTGAAAGAAGTTCTTTTGAAATCTTTGCAATTTATTAAAAATAAAAAAAAAAAAAAAAACACACGTACATAAGTATTCACAGCCTTTGCTCAATACTTTGTTGAAGTACCTTTAGCACCAAGTACAGCCTCAAGTCATTTTGAGTATGATGCTACAAGTTTTAAACACCTATGTGCTTGGATACCTCCCTCCCTTCTCCCTTGATCACTCATTTTGGCCAGGCGGCCCACTCTAGGAGGGATATCTGTAAAGTATCTCTTTACTCTCGGACGGCTTTTATTTCTCCTTCATCATGTGAGTGGCTAGTATTTAGCCTTTTAATAAATGGTATAATGATATTACACTTAGAGGCACTTTTCCTTCCTTGTTTTGTTTTCTACATCCATACACAGAGTCTGCTTTCACACTAAGGATCAGCTGCCATTTGTGGACTATCCATTCCTAAATCTTCTCCATCTGGATTATATTATGGACCATTATTAGGCACATAATAACCCCCTATCTCTCCCTCTATCTGTAAAGTATTAATGGAACTACAAAAAAATGTACCCCCAGTGCTAGTTTACACATGCAGTTGGGGGGGTACAGGTGGATGAGCCACATTTTAACAACCCCCAACTGAGTCCATATACATGTTATGATTGCAATGCTTTTGCATCAAGGCATGGCAAAAATTACCCCCCCATTGCATATGACGGGCAGTACCATTCAAGTGAATTGGACGACACCGCAACTGCTTGCATAGCATGGTGATGTGGGCTTTAGGGGTTAAAACAGGCATCGAGAAGGTGATGTAAAACCTCCTCGCTATCTATCAAATTCCCTATGAAAACTGATCCAAGAAAGTGTAAGCTAGCTTTTAAACATTTCATATAAGGTAAAAGAACAAAAAAAGTGTTTACTACCACTTTAAGAATGGGATGGAACTATAGCCAGAAAAAAGGGGGCTTATATTCTCCAACAGGGCCACTTATCTGAATGGGCCAAGTGCTATATGCACCTGGTCCCCTTTGGGATTAACCACTTGCCTACCAGGCACTTATACCCCCTTCCTTACCAGGCCAATTTTCAGCTTTCAGTGCTGCCGCACTTTGATTGACAATTGCGCGGTCATGCAACATTGTACCTATATGAAATTTTGATCATTTTTTTCTCACAAATAGAGCTTTCTTTTGGTGGTATTTAATCACCACTGGGCACTTTACTTTTTGCGCTATAAATAAAAAAAGTGCAAAAAATTTGAAAAAAAAAGTTTATTTGTTTCTTTTATAAAATTTTTCAAACAGGTATTTTTTCTCCTTCACTGATGTGCGTTGATGAGGCAGCACTGATGGGCACTGATAGGCGGCACTGATGGGCACTGATAGGCAGCACTAAAGGGCACTGATAGGCAGTACTAATGAGGTGGCACGGATAGGCGGCACTGATAGACAGCACTAATTAGGGGTCACGGATAGGCGGCACTAATATGCAGCACTGATAGGCGGCACTGATAGGTGACACTGATGATGGGTACTGATAGACGGCACTGACTGGCATCACTGCTGGGCACTGACTGGCGGCACTGACTGGCACAACCCCTGGGCACTGACTGGTGGCACTGACTGGCAGCACTGCTGGGCTGCACTGGTGGGTGGCACTGGTGGGCAGCACTGGTGGGTGGGCACAGGTGGGTTGCACTGGTGGGCACAGGTGGGTGGGCACAGGTGGGTGGCATTGCTGGGCACATGTAGGTGGCACTTCTGGGCACAGGTAGGTGGCACTGCAGAGTGGCACAGGTGGGTGCACTGCTGGGCACAGGTGGGTGCACTGCTGGGCACAGGTGGGTGCACTGATGGGCACGGGTGGGTGCACTGATGGGCACGGGTGGGCGGAGCTAGTGGGCGCACTGCTGGGCGGAACTTGCGGGTGGCACTGCTGGGCACCGATCATCAGGGCACTGATCATCAGTGCCCTGATGATCGGTGCCGATCCCCGCTCTGACAACTGCCGGTTCTCGGCAGTACTTTCCTCACGATCTGACAGCGTGAGGAAAGTGCAGCCGAGAACCGGCACTTGCATTTCCTTCTGATCAGCGTGTCATTGGACACCGATGATCAGGTGGTAAAAGGCCGCTGTGATTGGCCTTTTACCACATCACGTGATCAGCTGTGTCCGTAGGACACAGCGATCACGGAGATCGCCGGGTGCGCGCCCCCTGGGGCGCGCAGGAGAGCGCGTTCTGGGAGGACGTCATATGACGTCCACTCAGAACTGGCCGGCCGCAGTGAAGCCGTCATTCGGCTATCTGCGGTCGGCAGCTGGTTAAACAAAAATTTTAAAAAGTTTAGCAATCATATGTAACAGAAATAGACACAAGATTATGGACTTCCAAATCAAGCAGGCTCCTTACTAACTACTTCCATATAATCAATTAGGAGATGTGGAGTCCAAATATAACGAATGCTCATTTTACTTGTGTAACCAAGTGCAAAAATTCATATATCACATTAAAGCAACTGCAGCAACCGTCTTCGAGATTTTCTTAACCTTAGTGTGTTACACATTTAGCTTGAGAAAAAGCATTAGCACGAAATCGGTTGTTGCATTTGCTTTAATGTGATATATTAATTTTTGCACTTGGTTACACAAGTAAAGTGAGCTTTCATTATATTTGGATTCCACATCTCCTGATTAATTATATGGAAGTAGTTAGTATGAAGCCTGCTTGATTTAGCTTGAGAAAAAGCGTTAGCACAAAATCGGTTGCTGCATTTGCTTTAATGTGATATATGAATTTTTGCACTTGGCTATACATGTAAAGTGAGCATTTATTAAGTTCTTGCATGGCAAGACCACTTACTGTTATCTCACATATATATTCTTATTATTATAGCCAAATTTACCACCCTAACTCTTCCCACAGTTTTTACACTACATAGACAGTAATATACCGAAACGTGCGGATTGTTCCCGATTGGTGTGCTATTACTTTGTGGAACGTTTCGCCGAATGGTTCATGAAATATTGGCGTTTTTGTGGTGAAATTGGTCCCATAGGAATGAATGGACGGAATGTTCAAAACTAGAGTGGGAGCTGACAAAAGCTAGAATGTGAGCTGAAAAATCAGGACGTGATTTCTAAACTGCCATCACTCTCTCATTTTCAAGTCCACCTACACAAATCTTATATCAAAACGTTCAGCTATCCCTGTTGCCACTAAAAATGTCCACGGCTAAGCCATAGTCCAGATAGTTTTTACAATATGACCATTTGTTTGCAACTCACGCCGCCCATTGACATTCATTGAAACTCCATTCTAGCCACCTCAAATTTGAAGGGCAATTTCTAAACTGCGACTGTGCCTTCATTTTTAATATTTCAGAGACATACTATGCATCAAAATGTAGGTCTCTCACAATATAAAGCTCTTCAGTGTAGGATTTATAATTTTTAAACTACAACCGTTTGAAGATGGCAACCGCCAGTGAAGTAAGCAAGTTGGAGCAGTTTGTTTTTAACCACTCTTCTCTGCCCTTGCTGTAGAGTGAGTTGCCATAGGAACCCAAGTGTGTGAGCAGGCAAGAATACTTCACACAATTTCTAGTTATAATTGGACTCCACATCTTTTGATTGCTTTTTTATATATATATATATATATATATATATATATATATATATACACACATGTATTAGACAGTGTATTAATATGAAAATGTACCGGTAATATTCAATATGTGAAAATATATGAAATTATATTGTAACAGAATGCATAATTACAGTGCACTGTGGTTGACTTATTGAGAGGGTTATTTAAAAAAAAAAGAAAAGGACATGTGGAGTTGTTTTCTCATAGTAACCAATCAGATTTCATATCAGTCAGGATGATAGATATTCTCTGGCATGTAGAAGGCAGTTTTCAATGTGCCAGTCTTTTGCTGTGTTTAGCACATGGTTACCAGGCAGAACCAAGAACACTTGGCACCCACAGTGAAAATAATAAATAAATATTTATAACTGCAACATGTACCCATATTATCTTCATTAGGATCAAACACAATTTTCAGCATTGTGTTTTCATTACGAGGAATGTCATGCTATATGAAATACATAATTTTTATGCAGAAAAATGAATAAAACTGTGCCAACTATTGCGATGCTATTGTTAGAGTATAATCATATATGTTGTTTCTCAAGCAGTTCCTCTTTGTTATAAATAAATATAACTACACATTTACTATGCTATATTTGCTGAGCGTAGTGTGCCTGACTTTTTAAAACAAACAGGCACTGTGTAATCATCTCTCTGTCTTTTCAAAGCTGCATTTACTTCCCTGGAGACAATTTATTGGTATGCCAATCTTGGCACTTGGCTTGTCTGTAAGGTGTGGTGGATTTATTCAAGGCAGCCTGCATTGCATAGCCTCATATTAAACAATAATTTTAAATGTGATGTATTCCTGGGCTACCATTCTATTTATGCTGCTTTGACATTCCTCTGTGCACAATGGGATATCATTTAAATCACCGGAGTATGAGATGTCGGTGCAAATAAAGACATGGAGCTAGGCATATTCATTACTTACTTACTGAGCCAGTACAAAATGCAGTTGTGGAGGATTGAAGTGGACCAACTTCTACCACTACAGTTACCTGAATGTGATCAGCTGACAGCTTTATTCTTATGACAAGCAAAACCTTGCTGTGGTGAGTACTTCTGTATTACATCATTGTCCTTATGATCAAGATGTTTAATAACAGCACAAAGTAATTTATATAGAAAGTGTTAATGGAAAACTGGCACTCATATTGAGGACTATGTTAATGTGCCATTGAACAGCTAGCACTGGCAGCATGGAAAGGTCTCAAAATTAATATATTATCAATTGCTTCGACCTTGTTTTAAAAAAAGAGCTAAACTTTTGCACTTAGTTTCATTACAATCAAACACAATATGATTCTTTTGTGCAGCTTTTCTTCTGTCAAATGGGGATTTCTGCTTTAAACAACTAAAGAACCAAGGTAGCTCAAGGATTTGGGGTTTAAGTCACCAGTCTTATAGACAACACTGGAGACAATAAACTCCTACTGGTTTCCAAATGATAGCCACTGAAAGAATTGCGAATTTATTCTAGATCAAAATGCACAGACAAAATCTCAACCCTAACATAGGAAAAATATTGCAATATGTTATTGCACAGTGATTTGTAACAATGTTAAAATCAAACATCTAAATGTCTAATTGGGGCAGCACAGGGGCTAAATGGTTAGCACTTCTGCCTGGCAGTACTAGGGTCGCTGGTTCATATCCCAACCCCGGCACCACCTCCCTGGAGTTTGCATGTTCTCACTGTGACTGCGTGGGTTTCCTCCGGGTACTCCGGAGGAATGGTAGGTTAATTGGCTCCTGTCTAAATTGGCCCTAGTATGTGTATGTATGAATGTGAGTTAGGGACTTTAGATTGTACACTTCTTGAGGGTTAGGGACTGATGTGAATGTACAATATATGTATGTAAAGCGCTGCGTAAATTGACAGCGCTGTATAAATACCTGAAATAAATAAATAAATAAGGACCCAAAGAGTACAAACAATTAGAAATCCAGTAATTAAAAAGTAACTGCATATTAATATTAAATTGCATATTGTGTAACACTGTATTGTTTTAAATTGCTTAGAGGGACCCCATAATGTATGCACAAGAACATCTACCTAATAAACATATAATATCTCAATATCTATTATAATATACCCCCTAATATATAGAGAACCATGTCTGACAAGCCATTGGCAAAGAACACAAATGAAGATAAAATTATACCCTAGAGAAAATACTGTATATTTCAAATATTCTAAAAAGCTAAAAGTTAATAGAGCACAGCACACAGCAAAGGGTAAACAATTAAAGAGGATGACCACTGTACCAAGGGCAGGGGAAATATAAAAATAACATACTTGACTTGAATCCACCCTAGGTCAGAATAACATACAGTCCTAATTACAGCCTTAACTATAATAATAATAATAATAATAAAACATACAAATCTATGGATCCCGGCAGTGTAAGCCATATTCTGACTCAGTCTTATGAATGTCACAACAAAAATTACAATTTATTTCACCAGCTAATGTTTTTCCAGGCCTCTAGTCCAGTTTTGGTGATTCCAGGACCATAGTGGCTCATTTTCCTGTTCTTAGTTGACAGGGGTAGAACCTAAGTTGGTACTTTGCTGCTTTAGTCAACGCATACAAGGTTTGGTGTACTGCACGTTCAGGATCAACTTGCATTTACTGTCACTCACTACAATTTTTTTTTTTTTTTTTGCATTTTGCATCATTTTCTATAACCTGCCCAGCAGATTCTAAGATGCTGAGCTCCTTTTCTCCATTTTCTCCATTTTCTCAATGTATGCATTGCTTTCGTGGCATTAATTGTTTTGCATTATTAGGTAGATGTACGTAATAAAGTCACATCTTTATATATTGCAGTGGCATTTGCGTATTGCATCATATAAGCTAACCTTTAACATACTGTAAAACCTTTCATGACCAGATATCATTGAAGCCTAGATGCCCAGATGAAATTAGTAGCAGCAGTATGCATCGTTTACCTTGATAAAATATCTTTGACTAATTTGCCTATCCAAATAATTAAACATTTTGTTTTTTAACTGATATTTAATTATTTTATTTGGTTCACTGTTTTTGTAAATTACCAGCTTAATATTCAATTATATGATTAAAAATGTAATAAAAGATGTATTAATTTTTCACTTAACAGTTTTTTTCTTAATACATTTTTTATTTTTACTATTAATGGCGGCAATCAGCAACTTATAGTGGGACTGCGACGGGCATTCTAACACTGCGGGGAACTCACCTGGTGTCACTGACATCCCCAGTGACACCAATGCAGTGATCAATGCAAAAAAAAAGCACTGACACTGTACTAATGGCACTGGGCAGGAAGGAGTTAACTTGAGGGGTGATCAAAGGGTTAACTGTGTGCTGCTTTATATAGTGCTGTGCCCGTGTGCTTCACTGTAAGCACACTGCTTTGCATGGCTGTGCTGTGTGATCA